ATTTCCCCCGGAAAGCAGCCTTCTCCTCTACGGCTTGCTTGTTGGAAAGGGTTTCTTCTGTGATACAGCTGAGAACTCCTCCCAGTGCTCTTCAGCACCTTCGAGAACCCTCGACAATCTTTTGTTTGTCATATTTGGACTCCGTTTGGAGTTTGGGTGTGTGGATGTGTCTGAGAAGCTTGGACACCACCCACAACCTTGCTCAGTGTCCGAAGAATTGTTGTTTCAGCCAAACGACGATGCCGGGTTGCGGGGTTTTTTGGAAAGGTGTCGACATGGCTAGCAAAAAATGTGACGACACGAATCACCGACAAAAAAGGAATAAAGGTGCATACTGGTTGGTGCCTCCCTCCACGTGTTGGACTCAACCACCCACCAACCGTTCATGCCGTTTCACTCCAACCGTTTCGAAACGGGTGTCCCCGCGCACGGGTCGCCACCGTCACCTGGCAAGACGTCCAAGTTACCCCAAAAGAAGGATGGTCCAACATGGAAGGAGGGGTAGAGCTAGGAACAAGGACGCTACTAGGAGCAAAGGGCATCGCTACTACGTAGGAGCAAGGAAGCTACTAGGGCTCCTGGCCTTACTACCAGGAACAAGGACGCTACTAGGGGCTTCCATCCCATGATTTGCGGCAAAGTCCATGAGCTGACACAGGAGTGTCCAGGGCATGTGAAGCATCAGTCCTGCATGTGCAGGTTTGTTGACTGTTATTAATGAAATATATTGAAATATATACCAGTATATATACTCTTGTTTGCCTTCCTTAGTTGGCATGCGCATGCAATTTATTCTATCTGGGGGGCTCTCTTGGATTGTCGTCCTCTAAAAGGGAAAGAAACATGTTCGGGACATCTTGGCTGGGTTAGGAGCACTTCTGCTCGGATTTCAAAAGCCAATCAAATAAGTTACACATCACAAGAAACCATTGAAACATAATCTTAAATTTAGGGAAACCACCCTCTAATTGACAGTGCTGAAGTTTGAGGAACTGTGCACCGTTCCTACTGTGCCCTCCTCTACTAAGCGCCAAAATGTGTTCGACTGGCTGCGTGTTCGCCCTTTCGTGCATGCACAAGCAAGCACACTGCACCGATACTGCACCACACTGCACACTCTATATCAGCTGTGCAGCCGCCCCTCCTGAGTCCCCCACATTCCGCCGGCCCGGCTTCAGGCATCGACCGAGGTCCTGCGACAGCGCAGACCGATGCGACAGCGCAGCTGCAAAGACCGATGCGACCGCGCACATCACAGCGCAGAGACACGGAAATCCCTGGTTGTCTTTTGTTGTTTTTCAACGTGCTACAGTTTCCTGCTTTTGCACGCATCTCCATCGGCAACACTTCCACCCATTGCACACCACACCAACACAAAGGTTTCTGCATGATTGGCTGACATTCCGGCACAAGTCACGGCAAAAGGTTAAACACAAAGTCTGCAGGCTGCTTGGCAAGTACAGCCGGAGCCAGCCAAGCGCTAGGCTTCAAATGCGACATGCTCGGATGGTGTCTAAATGCTCCTCAAAAAGCTAAGCAGTGGTGTAAGCCGCCATCTCTCAAACCAACTTCGGCCTGTTGCTTAAGAAGGCCTGGTGCTCCTGCCTTTCGATAACAGCACTGGGCTCCAAACTTACATGCAATCTGTCTTGCTGAGGTCATCTCCCACTCTCCAGAGTCAGCTTTGTCTTCTTTTGCGCCAAGGAGATCATTGACGCACACCGCTTTGCATTGATCGTGTTGGCTGCCAAGCACTTGCAAAAAGGCCTCACAGCTCCGAATAGCAACCAGCCCTGCCTGCACCAATCCTTGTGACTGCTGGTAGCCGTTGGTGCTGAAGCAGCACGACTGCAAGGGGCCGTAAGCGCCGCTCGTGCCCTGGATATTCTCCAGGGCATGAACCATCGCCTACACCAGCTTGTGCAAGAAGTGCTTGAAGCGCCCTCAGGAGCTTCCTTGAAGCCTCCAAACATGACTGTTAGTTGAGGCTGTACCTGAGTTTGGCTGCACCACCCGATGGCTGCAGACACACTGGACTCTGCACAAAGCTTACTCGAAGCTGCGAAGCTTTACTCTTTCCCATTGCAAAGGCTGGTGAGGAACATGGAGCACGCTGAGGAGAGCAAGCCACTTCACCTTGTGCGAAACACTGTTGAAGATCCGCATGGTCACAAAGCACATCCGTCCGCCGCCACCGCCAAAGCCACTCTTCCCAGTCCTGCGGAAATCCGATTTTGACCGGAGAGCCATCCTCGACTCCGCCAGCTGCTGCTGGTCCAGTGGTATCCCAAGTCAGTCACCTGTCACCTGTTCTAAACACCCACTCGAGTGCTGCACATTTCAAGAAAAGTCTCAAGCAGTCCCTCAATAAACACCGAGTAAGCAAGTCTTGTGGAAATAGATTGCATAGCTTGCATGTTCGTTTCCATAGGCACAATCTGCAGAATCACTAAAGGAACAAAACTCTGTTCGTCCAACTGATTAATTTAGTTATTTAGTAACAAAAAAGACACGCGTGAGCACAGCAAGTCAGCAAGGTGCATCCTGACGTCAACAGGTTGAAATCCATTGACCCAAGCTACCAAAACCAAGGAGCCCTGGAAATCAGGAACAAAGGCCTTCATTCTCAAATCAACAGTATCCAGAGACCAAAACCTGCGAGACGCTCTTGGAGAAACAAAAGCCTGCCTGGTTTGGTGTATGTCTCACCCAAACCTGCGAATAAACGTAAATCAACGCGTGGGATCGGCCCTCGGCTCCGCAGCGGGCCTGGTCAGGAAGCTGATCCTCCAACGCGTAGTACCTCTCGACAGAGATGGTTTTCGCACACGACACGAAGGAAAAGCGCGACTGACGGGTCGAGAGTGGCCCCGATGCCAACATTTCCGGCACATGGACCTAGTGGCGCAATTGATTCATCAACAGGTGGGGCTCAAAAATGCGATACACCTTCACCACAAGTGCCCAAATGAAACACAAACCAAAAATGAACAAAACCATACAAAACCTGTGGTTTCACATTCAGGTCCTGTTGCAAGATCTATTGGTTTGCAAAACAGCTTCTTCAACCAACCTCGCAAGGGCGTCTGCTGCGCACCCCTGGATGCAACTCTTGGCTGTGTAGTCACTGATGCCTGACCTGAGCATTCCAACGTTACGTGGAGTTCTCCTCTACGTACCTTTGAATCCTTTTGAAGTCTCACTGCAGTTTCGCAAGTCTGGTTTACTGCCCTAGTTGGCACGTGTGAAAGAGGAAACCAGGAGTGCAATCAAAGTCTCAGCTGGCAAGAAGCTGTGCCGGAAAAATCCTCTTCCAGACCCTGACTGAGCAGAATCTCTTATACCAAGCAGGGTCAGGGCTCACCTGTAAAGAACCAAGTCCAAATCCATGTGGAGACTGACCCCCAACAAGTGTCCCCAGAACGAGCACGGCTCATCTCAAACGGTTGCTCCGTTCTTTCGCCCGCAGGCGGCGCCTGCGTGGCCGGGCTCCCGGGCTTTACACCATGTTGAAAGTCTGGGTCCAAAGGAGGACCATTGGCCTGACAGGTATTGACATCCAAGGATTAGGGGGGATGGGCGTGGCGAATCACAAGACTGACCAAATCTCCACTTTGGAAGGCCCTGTAAAAAAAAGATTGACCAGCTATGAACTTTGAACCACCGAGGCCGCAGGATGTGGGTATCTGCACTGGCCGGGTCAGAGGTCGATCACGTTTGTTCGGACGGGGTGAACGACCATGATCGACCTCACCCAGGCGGACAGAAGGATCCCTGAAATGGCCATCTTCACCACTTCAGCCCCTTGGTCGAACCAGTGAAGAACCCCAGATCTTTGCCGAACCCCCCAAGCAAATCCTCATCTGCCGGTCAAACCAGGAAACCCAGAAGCCAGGCCAGGTCGACGCCCTGCTTCGCATGGGCTTTGTGGTAGACCTGGCGGATGTGTTGACTGCACCGAGCTGAGGCAAGAAGTGCACCGACCGGAGGTAGCTCACATATGAGATAAGGAACGGGTCAGGCTTGCCCATCAAACCAGCATGGGAGTATTGTGGCAAACCCTCAGCCAACAGAATTCGACCTTGAACCAAAGCATCTGTTCAGCTAGCGTCTCCTAAACACTTCCAGAGAAATCCTCCAGAATCTTGAGACACCAGCCACAAGCATTATTTCTTCAGGAAACACCTGCGAAAACGAATTCATCTCAAGCACCTACCAGCATCTACCAGCATCTACCAGCAACTATTGGAAATATGGCCTGCAGCAACAGTGTTGTTTCGTCTCCGCTGTCCCCTGACCAACTGGAGGTCATCCATAGCAGCAGGGGAGTCATGCCCATGCCCCAACAAGGGCCTGATACCCCCCCAACAAGGGTCGGATACCTTGACGTCAGTAATATAATCTCTGACACATCAGTCATCAGCCCGTGTGAAAACAGAACCACCAATCCAGCCCGTGTGGTGCTTTCGTGGTCGCCTTCGTGTGCTGCACCGTTCGGAAATCCTGTGTCGACACGGGACCGTTCTTCGCGTCGGTCTGCGGGTCTTCGGTCACCCGACGCGGTCGGGTCTGGGGATTCCAGGTGGGATGGCGTGTGCCATCCATGGTCCAATTCTGGGATGGCATGGTCCATTGTTGATCTGCATCCGGCCGCGCACCAATCGATCGGATGTCGATTTTTGTCCGACTGTTATAAGAAAAGAAGGACAAATAGGACTGCCGCACTTCTAAAAGCAGTTTGGAACCATCGGGAAAAATGGTCTCCTCCACATTCTTCTGCACCAGTCGAGTCTTCCGAACAGACCCTCAGTTCGCAACAGGATGAGCGTGATGCAGGCCGTTCTGACCAACAGGTCGTCTCCCATGAAAACCCCTGCTAGAACATTGAAATCTCACAAAGAAATGGGAAGACAGCGGAGGTTCCATCAGCTCTTCTGTTCATTCAATCAAGGGGAACCAGTCCGCCTGAAATGTCTAATGCAGTCTGGGTTCCATCATCTTCAACGTCCCAATTTAGGGCCTCACTCTTCAGTGTGCTGTGCTGCGAAGGCGCACTAGTGTGCTGTGCTGCGAAGGGGCACTGAGCAAAACAAACAGCTCCGCGGGGGAGCAGGAGACATTACTTGCTTCATCTTGCTTCAAACAAACGAACTACGCGGTCTCGGCTTGATAGATTGGTTGAGCATGGTTGAGCAGATCAAATGCACTTGTAAAGCACGGTGCCGAGAAAACAAACTGCAAAGGAAAAACTCACAAACGGTTGGATCTAATGAACATGTACAACATACATGCCCTCTGGGTAGCCCGTTCTTTGTCTGCAATGACTTCTGCGTCTTTGCGTGTGATAAAATGCAAAAACACACATCATAAAAACACCAGGCAACCTGACAGACTACCGGCACCTACAGTCCATGGTAAGGGCACCAATTCCTTGCCCCATTTGGGCCATTTTCCACCTCAAGCTTGAACACTTCAACTCCAAGCCCACCACCAAGCGAGCACCTGCTCCTTCCTATCACAATCAGAGGCTTCAGAGGTGTGCTGAAGTCCAGGCTTGCAACACGGTGCTTCAACAATTGTCAATCAATCTCTTTCCCTTCAACATCCTTCAACGGCCAAAGGCATGAGTTTTTGATTTCCACCCAAGACTGACACAGAAGCACCCTTCTTAAGTAGGGGATTCAATCTTTGAGAATAGTTACTTCGTTTCTTGATTTCCTCTTCCAGAAGTGTCATCTTCCCACCCAGACCATCACACTGCTCCTGCGCTTGCCCAAGCCCATGCCCGAAGCGGAACCGGGAGTCCTGGCCACGAACGAGGATGATACGTGGGACCCGCGTAATCCTGTGACAAATCCCTGCACAATTCCTTCTTCGTATGTGACCAATCCCGGAATTTCCGAGCCCTTCGTATCAGGATCAACACCGAAAAAATCATGCAACCCGTCTGCCTTTGTTTCGCGCCCCCTAAGACACTCACTCTACGTGAGAGGCACCGTGCTCGCCCTACTTCCTTCCAGGCACGCGCCACGCCCGGAACGCCTTTGTCTCGGCCGGCCATCGGTACTTGCGCTCGATGCCTCCAGAGACGGACGCGTCGAGCGGTGCACGCGGTCCAACGCCGCGCCCGCGCGCCATGGACCGTAAGGACCGTTGGAAGATGGAACCCTTACGGCCTTACGCGTCTTGACGTTTGGGGAGGGCGCCTCAGATTGTGGCCCTGAAAAATAGGACATTGAAACAAAGCGGTGATGTATGTACTGTATGTACTGTATGTGTATACATACATATATATATATATATGTGTGTGTGATGTTTGGTAGGCACAGTGATTCAATCCTGTGATTGCTCTTGTTGGCCCAGGACCAGCACGACATGTCCGACAGCTGTGGAAAGAGCTTGTCCCAAATGAGCTGAGACAGGTAGGGTGTTTTCCCTTCTACGAGTCTTGAAACCTGCCAGATTCGCCAGATTCTCACTCAACTGTTGAACCAGAATCAAGGACTATGCTTGCAAGTAGAGTTGCACATGCAACTCCCGTTTTGAGCTATGTTGCAATCATGGACCAACACATCTCCTTTTGTCCAATGCGGTAAAGACACGCTCGCCAGGGTTGAAGTTGTTGTGCCTAGGTGCATGAACACAACCGCTCCAACTGGAAATGGCCGAAGACGTGAATAATACATTATGAACATATCGACTCGCCATGAAATTGCAACGCATAAGAATCTGCAAACACTTTTGGGGTGGATTGCTGCCAAGTCGTGCACCCAAAAGAAACATGGGACAGTGCAAGTGAATCCGGCTGGTCGTAATGTTTGTCCAAGCTCCAGGCGTGTATTTGTACAGCAACCTGTGCTCCTGGCGGCTTCGCACGGCGCGGCCGGACACGCCCTCCGCACGACCACGCGGCCCGGGCGCGTGGCGCGGTGCGTGGCGCGGTGGCCCGGCGAACGGGTGGCCCCCGACTTGACCACACTCCCTGCCTCCTTGTCTGGCGGCTGGTGAATCTGGGTGCGACGCTGGTGCGTTAGTTGCAAAGTCAAGTGGCATAGTCCAACCCTGGTACTGCATCTAGTAGTAGAAGTCCCCTCAAAAAAGTAAAAAACTGAACTAGAGGTTGATCCCATGCTTTTGGATGTCTAGTTGTATGTCTCTATGTCCGACAGCCAAGCTCCTCTGCTGAGTTTGTACATGTTTGCAGAGTCTGTCATTCGGCAGTTGTTGGATACTCAGTCATTGCACTTCTTTGCCAACCTGAATTTCCTCCCAGTATCGGAGACCCCCACCCACAGCTCAACTGAGCAGCAGACCCCATAGATGACCTCCTTGCCATTTTGCGGTTCACCACCTGATGCACTCCAAAAGCTTCAGCCAAGAAAAGGTGCTCCAAGGCCAGCTCTGTCGACAGCATGCGCTAAGGAGTCGGCTGGGATTGCCGAAGCCCTCGGGCAGCATTTTGATCCTGGCGTCCGACCGGGGTGACCCGACCGCCCTGACCCGGTCTGACCGAGACAGCAACGATCTGGCTGTGGCTGCACCCGCAAAACAATGGTCGGCTATTTGGAGGTGAATCAACTGGTCTACTCAATCTATCTACTACCATGTTACACATTCCACTTCCTCCGAGGCCGCCCATCAAACATGCCGATGTCGGACGCATGCCCGCGGTTCCAGGGTCTTCCTGCCAGGACAGCTGATGCATACAACATGACATTCACGGTTGGTTACATAAAATAAGCCCGGATACATGTCCCTTCAAATCGTGCGAAAGCCTTGAGAATCACTGATCCGTTCCTTCCTCTAATCATTGCAGGAGGCCTAGGGGCTCTTTCTTGCGCGACTCGTAGATGGACTCGGCCACTTCGTTCTGATAGGCAGCGACCCCAAGCAGGAGGCCAGCCTGGCCAAGGTAACGTGCAAGCAGGGGAGGCCCCGCCCACGTGGCTTCTACCAAAAAGATCTCCAGGGTTCCCACACTGACATGTTTCGGGTCTCCACGGAGTTCTCCACGGATCGCTGGGGTAAACTTCCAACTGAGGGAGTTTTGAGTACTGCATCGAACACCCCAAAGGACTTTAAAACGTCCCCAAATAGGACACTAACAACAACGAATCCACACAAATGCTGTTGCTCCGGCCTGAAAAAGAAGCTACAGGGCTGGATTCCCATGTACGCACCTCGCTCTCCAGAAGAGCTGTCCGAGAAACATGCGACTCGGACAGCCGGACCGCGGCACTCGGCGCTCCCGACCGGGCGGCACACCCGACCGGGGCGTGCCTTCATGGTGTCTTCGGTGCTAGCGCCCTTTTGGCCCCGAATGCCGTAGCGGAAGTCCTGGCGTGTCCGGCGGAGACGCTTCCGGCGTGCCCGGCGTGCCGAGCGACTTCAAAAAGAAGAAGGAGACAAACCCCATCATTGAAAACCGAAACCGCCGGAAGAAACCGCACCGAAACCCCCCACGGCGTCCTCCGCTGGGAGCAGCTGATCCTTCAGGCCGTGATGAACCTCGGTTCGGATCTGTTGGACCCATGCGGTGCTCGTGGTAGGAAAAACCATGAAAGAAGAAAAATAAAAAGGATCCAAGAGGGAACTCCCAGCAGGGACCCCTAGAATTCCACGAAAAATGGTGGGACATCTCGAAATATGATTTTGCCCCTTGCCTTTCAGTTTGTTCACACTTGCTGTGCCGCTGACTTCAACTCCGGCATTATCCTGAGTTCGCCGCGCAAATCTCCCCCGGGCCGTGTGAGATCCTGCAGAGGAAGACGAGGGTCCCCGGTGCAGGACAAGAAGATGCAAGAAGTGAGTTTGGGTCCAAGTACTAGAGATTTAGATGGAATACTTACAGATAGTTACTATATGTTACTATTGTCTGATGTGAGTATCATCGTTTTCCATCTGCCGTCTGCCAAAAAAAAGATGTGAGACCAATCCACCTCTTCATCGACCTCCAAAACACGGTCCACAACGGCCTCCTGCACCATCCTAGCCTTCAAATAAACCCTCAAACCATCAAGCACCAGGTAACACAAATCATCACCACCATGAATAAGAATCAACCCACGGGGTTCCCCCAAACCAAAAAGAGGTCTTCAGTGACCGTAAACAGGACCTGGAGTACCTTTTTTGGGGTTCTTCCACCTCTGTTGGAACCCCGGGCCAGCCCAAACCCCCCACCTGCGGAATTTCCGCTCGCTCACAGGCGTCGCGGGCAGCGGGAAGAAGATCTCCGGCGCCAAATCCTGCTGTGCCGAGTCCTCGGTCAGGAGCGCGAGGACAAGGCCCCTCCCACACCCACCAATGCCAATGAGTCAATTTGCAAGTTTGAACATGAAAGGTTAAGTGGCTACCAAGAATAACCTTAATATAACCCTTTTTTCAATACAATTACTATTATATACTATGGATATGATTATCATCATTGTCGGTTTTTCGGCAATCCTTAATTTTGAAACGACCACTGATCAACCGAATGTCTATGTCATCCAGACATCTTCAGACACGTTCCCCCCCAAGATCAAGATCGCGCCGAACAAAAACCCGCCTTCTCACCCGATACTTGATAACTTGGAGGGACGAATTACTAGTTCAAGTTTCACGGCCGCCCAAGATGTTCATCAAGGTTCCACGGCCGTGCCTGGACCATGTTCCACCCTCTTGGAGGGATGTCAAATCTTCGCTTGTTGCTTCGCTCGTTTCAAAATCCATGGTCTTGTACAAGAGCATGCAATAGCATGCAACCAGCTGCGCTGCAAAGCACCAGGCATGAACCACGTCCACATGCGCAAGGTTCCAGGAAGGCACCCCAAAATGTGCAACACATGAAAGAAACAAGAAACCTTAGGCGACACAAGTCCCTGAGAAAAAACGCAACCTCTGGGCAAACAGTGCTCCATGACAACGAGACCTGACAGTCGCTCAACTTCAAGGAAGTGCCACCCCGGACACTTGACGGGTGTGCCTCAGTTCAGACTCGCCAAGAGCAGCATCGTTTGGACTCGGGTGACGCCAACAGCTTGAAACGAAGCTAAACACAACGTTTTACACGAACGAAACAAAGAGGACGCTACGAACGTAACAAAGGGCATCGCTACGAGTCGGAAAGATCGGACGCTACGAACGGGGCGCTCTTGGCCTTACTACTAGCAACAAGAACGAAATATTCGGCCAAGAGGCACCCTCATCTTCGGCCCTAGAGGCCACCCTTCGCCCAACGTTCATGATGGCACTTCATTGACCCCCGCATCGACAGAAGAGGTCGGTTCGCCCAAAGAATGGCCGAATTCCACGCGGTTGCCTTCAGAGATTCTTGTTAAATCTCCTTCTACACCCCCAAGTCCTCCGATCTTAGGGTGAAGTATGTGTTCTGTGGCAGCTTCAGCATGTCAGGACTTTATGGCCACTACCTAAGTTGCTAGTTGCTTCTGCCCAAGTATGGGATCGGACACTAGAGTTAACATCCTTAAATCAGGTATGTTGCCATGAAGCAGTTAAGATTGGCAAATGAGTTGTGCTCAACCAAACGCCGCCAGTATATGTTCCACAACTCCCAACCCATGTGTGATCAAAATACAGCCTTTCCCTCTCACTCTTGGCTCCCACACATTTAAGGGCACGTTGATGGACTTTCCCGCGGGCGGAATGTTGGGGAAATGGTTCTTGAAGAGTCCCTCAGGGCATTTGCAAGTGTGGCTTCCAAGGTCCTTCCCTTTAGATCTCCAAAATTGACACACGAAAAAGCAGAATGGGCTTGGCTCGATGACGGTTGATATATATATATATATACGACTAATCAAGGCAACCGCAAAAGTCATTGGCTGTCACTGTTTCATGTTTCATTCACCAACCAAGGGCATCGAGGGCAAGGCCTCTCTGGAGCCACAGTCATGTTCAGATGGAATCAGTTCAAGTCATCACAACAATCCAAATTAACTAATAGCGTCCTTGCTCCTAGTAGCGATGCACTTGTTACTACTAGTAAGGCACTTGTTTCTACTAGCAAGATTGCATCATGGCTCAGGCCAAGAACCTGGACTCGGGCCTTGAAACAACATCTCGCCCGTGGCATCAAAAAACAAGGAAGCTGATGAGAATCTCGTTCAAGACATTCAGTGGAAACCCTCAACCATCCTCAACCCGTCATGAAACGCGGCACCTTGGATTTCATCTGTTCATAGAGGGTCGTGGTAAAGACCTGGGAGCTCGAGCCTGGCAGGCTTGCGTGGGATTGGCGGTGTGTTGGGAAGATTCTGGTGTGAATGACGCCATAGGGAGCGGTTCAGCTTGAGGAAATGGCAAGTTCAAGTGAGATTAGGGAGCCAGTAGGGAGAGCAGCTTGCTGGGTTGCTTTCTTGCCTTCTTTGAGCTGCAGGAGCTTCTAGTTCTCACACATCGGAGCGAACGGAAGGACAGCTCGCCTCCCAGCGCGGCGGCACCGGCCTGGCGAAGAAATGCAGAGTCCAACCAATGGATTTGATTAATCCGACCAATATGCTTCCCCTTTGTTCACTCTTCGTGAAGGAGTACCTTTGGACTGTTTGGGGCGGCGTCACCACAGGTGACAACATACCCTTCTCCAAAACGAAGGCCATGAGATCTTCGCTCATCTCGGAGACTTGTTGCGATCCATACCGAAAGACAATGAAACAGTCAAGCAGGGGTTCATACCTCCAGTAGTTGAATCACCCAAAATGAACCGTGAACAAAGCAAAGCTGTCGCAGGATGATGGTTGCTAAGGTCAAGAGTCATAAGCTTGGCAAAACTCCTTTTTGATGCAGAGAGCCACAAGTCACAAATGCAACCGCAATAAATCATCTTCAAAAGAACCCTCAAATGCCAGCCATAGTTCCGGAGGGGCAGCGGCGTCATGTCTGTTGGGGCCCACAAGTGTCCCCAGTTTAAAAACCGTGTCACCAAACTCCTCATTGCACTCTTCGGCCTTCTTCAAGCTGGAACTGCCTGATCCTGCCAACACGACGAGATGCTGCTCAGACTCAAAAGTGCGCCCCAAAAAAATCGTTGGGAAATGAATAACATGAATATTGCAAAACCTGCAGGTTTCTGGAGTCCTGTGCTGACCCACAGATCTTCCACGTGTCAAGTCTCGGTCACGAGAATACCTCCTTTTCGTGGCACTGGAGTCCAGCTTCGCCAACCATCTTGCACCAATATACATGTCATACATTAGACTTTGTGTATAGAGAGAGAGAGAGGGAGCGAGCGAGTGCGTGTGTGCTTCCAACGTCCCGCTCAAATGCCTTGGCCCTTTGCACTTACTCCCCTTGTTCCGGATCCGCCGTGTCGTTCCGCAGTTCCTCGTCGTTCCGCGCCCAGGTCGGGGGCCGAGGCACTCTGGGAGAGCCTTGGACTGGACAGAGGGGTGTCGGTTGTTCAATTGGGGATCTGAAAATACAAGGCCATCAACCGCAGCCAATGCTCCGTTTCTGTAAGTGCCTTTGCCTCAAAAAAGTCCACATAGCAGACATACCAGCAATTTGTGCAGCACGTCGAGTTAGCCCACTAGGAACCCGTAGCACCTCTCACTGCTTCAACACTTCCCCAAAAGAATCGGCATTCGCTATTGCTGCCTGGCTGCAGTTGCTCTGCCTCAAGCCAACCAAACATCCCAGCACCCACCCACCCATAATTACCCATCCAGACCTGTCCATACCAGTTCATACCTGTCCATCTGTCTCTTGGCCCATCTGGTCCATCCAAATGCTACCGGATCGCACCATAGCGGCCCGCAGTTAGCCTGCCCCGCTGCTCGGGGCGGCCGCGACTAAGACTGAGACTGAGCAAAACAGGTCGCGCTACTCTCAATGCCACTGACCACAGACTGGGTTCATGCTGGAATCTGTCGAGGCAAAAGCAGTGATCCCACCACAGATCCATTGCTGCCCAAAATAGTTGCTCAAAGCCCATTGCTGAACCGTAGTTTCTGAACCCATCCAGTTTCTGAACCCGTGGTTTTAGTTTCTGAACCCTAGTTTCTGCATGTGGACCATTTTCTGAACAAGTGAGCTTTGCAGGCTCAAATTTCGACCAGATCCCTGCACACCCTGACCGTGACCCCACAAAACATGAAACACTGTCTGCTCCGGGCCATTTCTTTTGCCGTTTCCACGTGGCAGGACGCGCCAAGTCTGGGTTCTTCCGACATGGGCGTCGTTCGAAAGGCGGAGAGCAGCTTTGGACAGAGCCCGAGCACCACACTCGTCGCTCGTCGCCCGAAATGAGGGCCCAAGGATGACAGCGAGGAAAGAGTGACGCCATCAATGGTGCTTAAAACCGATAAAAGGGTGAAACATAAGTCAGTCTCTGTACCAAGACCTTGCAGCGTGCTGATATATCTTCAGCTTCACCCATCTGACAGATCACGACACTTCTCCAGTATGGCTGACAGAATCTGACAGGACTGCCAAGCTAAGCTTGCAAAGCGGAGTCTTGGCCGCTCACTCTGCAATGTGTGAATGTGTCGGGCAGCCCAGCAGCTTCCAAAATGGGTCCTTCCGAGCCATGCCTGGGCTTGACGGGCAGCGCGAGAGACGGGGACCCGAGAGAGAGAGAGAGAGAGCCCGAGGTCCTCGGACAGTGAGTATTCCGCGGACCGCTCGGTACGTGCAGGAAAAGAGGCGCGGTACCGAGCTGGCTGTGTGCACATTCTGGTTTCAGCTATGTTTTGTCTGTTTCGAGGTCGGTGAAAGGGTCTCAGCCGTTCGGTCACCTTTTTCACATGGATGGAAGAGTAGAGAGAATCACTGTAGCTACCAGAAAACTGCTACGAGCTCTGGTTTCAATGAGATCATGAGATCGAGTCAATCAAGTCACACTAAAACAAAGGACACGTCCATCGTCCGTCCACGTAAATTGGTTCATGTTGAGTCGAATACGGAGCTGCGTCGTTGGCTTCTTTGATGTGGACGAACTTCAACCCGATGGATCAGCTCCTTCGTTCTCTGACTAACCAGGACCTGGGTCTGTCACTTGTCGAAGGCCATCAGTGAATTAGGACTTGGTGAGTGTATTAGCATGAACTATCGCTGTCCACGTCCATCGTGTTATCATTGTTCACCCACTGCTTCTCACTCTCATTCATGTTGGACCTTCGCTCATAACAGGTCTGGCTCCTCTTCAACACCAAATGTTGGCCGGCACCTCCCACACGCCCAACGAGGCCTTGCCAGAAGCAAGTTGGAGCTGTCGTGGCACACGGCGGAATACTCACCGTGATCCTCCGCGCTGATCTTCCAGCCTGAGTGATTCGAGGTTGCAAAGGATCTGTCACATAGCTCAAGGCCAAATTCCTTCCATCACTTCTGGACCATGTGTTGATTGAAACGTCTAGCAAAAACAAGTCACAAGAGCCAGGTTAGCAGCTGCCGCACTTCTACGTGTGACTTCTGAGTGTGATCGTGGGCTGGTAAAAACATCTTGAACTGGACATAAGCAGGAAAAGTGACTAAGACTAAGACCTTATTGGTTGAGGCGCCTTGTCTCTTTGGACATATATGCAAGTCATCACAGCCAACACCCCCAATTCTGTTTAAATCGCAACGCTTTCAACTGCCCAGCGGCCATTTTTTGCCTCGACATGTTGTGACCCATTTCCATGTTATACTGTTAAACAACTGGTTCTCAGCACTCCACCATCATGCGATGAAAGGCTTTGGTTTGGTTATGAGCGCCAAAGATCCAGAAAAAGGAATGGATTCTGATCAATCCTCCTGCTACCAGCTGGACCAGCCCAAGGCAGTCGATATAAAAAATGTATGTTTTCTCCATCCAATGCGCGGTGTCGGAAAGACACACCGTTCTTCGCCCCACGCCACCACGAAAAGCATCACCTCCCCTTCCTATCCCCTTCCTTCTTTGGGATCGGGCATCGTTCTCGTTCGAACGCGCCAAGGTGGTGCCGGCCGGTCCCGGCCGAGCAGCATCCCAAGCTGGTGCCGGCCACCAGGTCCCAACCCTCCAGCGCGCGGCCCCTCAACACC